CAGGACTTAAACTGCAGTCATTGGCTGATAAACTCTAAGCGATAAAGGACCTGGAACAACGTTGCTAAAACATTTGTCTGCCCAATTGAACCAGCGCCCAAAGACAAACAGAAACCTGCCAGCTCGATTTTGCGGTGTCCCCAGCTGTTCCCTTGGCAATGGAGCTCTAAATCCATACCATTGGACTTTATTCTCTATTCCCTTGGACACAAAGCGACGGATGAATGGAGGACTACGGCCAAACAAGATGCAGAAGGCGCTTATTATTGTTTGCCATTGAAGCATCACACGGGCCTCAAACTCCCCCCGCCATGCCACGGTTCGCCTCGCCGCTCTGAAACCCAAAAACATCGACATCGACATGGTCGTGGACGTGAACCACTCCGGCATCTACCACAGCGGAAATCAAAACAATAGAGGCCAACCCCGAAAACTGTGCAAAATGACCGATGAAACAGGAGGCTGTGAAGTGGGGAATTGGGGAATGGGGGAAGGGGGGAAGGGGAGCGGATCCGGAAGCGTGCCAGCCAAAGTTCCACTTCAAAGTGCAAGTGGTAAGTGGAGAATGAAACTATTTCCACAGCATTTGCACTGGAAAAAACGTTAAAGTAAATTAGTTAAAGAAATTAGTTTAAAATAAACACAAAAAGAGAGGTTTAAAATAACTAATAAAAAAAAAACACAAGTTCTACATATTAAAACCCTTAATATTTTATATTTATAAATTGACCTAAATTAAACCCAAATAAACCTTAAAGACTTAGGTTTAGCTTCAAAAAAATAGTTTAAATTTGTTAATTGGAACGCTTAAGCTCAAAACTATATTTTTAAAGCTCTTCTCTATAGTTTGCTTCTATTTTATAGCTCTTAGCTCCTTTTTTCGTGTGTTTAATCATCCATTCAAACGTACTTTAAGCGATGCTTAAATTGGGAAAATGCACAACTGGGAGTGCTGAAACTTTTGGCTGATTACGTACTAATTACCTATGGGATATCAACTTGAGACGAACTTTTATTTCAGCTCCCCAAGCAGCCGGGCAGCTGGGTAGCTTGTGACATTGCGTATACGCCGGGTGGTCCACGCACAGCGGAAATACAAGCACGTCGCATAACGAAGCAATTAAAAGGAGAAAGTATGCAAATATCAACTGACCAAAAAGGAGCAAAAAGCAGTGAATTAATGTGGCGTCAAATTGAATGACAAGCCGCTGCCAAAAGGTAGAAATGAAAATGAAAAAAAAAATAAAATAAAATAAAAACGAAGGCGCAATGGAATTAAAGATGCTGATGGCGACGATGAGTGAGGCGGCAAAAGAAATGGAACGACAATTTCATTTCAAAAATGCAAGATGCCGTGATGATGCTGATAAAAATGAAGTGGATTCCTCCCGGAATTATAAACAGCTGTAAGAAGAAGGATCCACGGCAGGAGTCTGGCAAGAAATGTGCCGATGCAGGCAGGCAGACAGTCGTTTTCCTTTGGATCCCTGGCAAGGGACTGGACACGGGCAGACAGGTTGGTGGCCAACGGAGAAAAGGGGGAAGATGGACCTGTGTCACGTTTCAGTTAGTCAAATGAAATGAAGAGGTGGCGGCAGGACATTGCTGCGGGCTGGCTGGCTGATGGAACGGAATTACATAAAGTCCTGGCACAACTGAGTGTTTCCTAGTAAAGACCCTGATCCATTTAAAACTCTTCAAAGGGTTTCCAATGTCCCTCGCCTAGAGTCCACAAACAATGCACAAGCAAGGAAACGTTTTAATTGAATATTCCAGAGGCAATTTTAAGGAAAAAAGCGAGTAGTTCTAAAGCAAATATACATAAATAATTGGCAGTGTCCATTGTTTCGATTTGTTTTTTTCGTCTGCTGTCTCGGTCTCAATTATATTAGAAAGTTGTGAGCACAATTTGATTTCGGGCAGTCATGAATTTTATTTTGTAAATGTTTCATTTATTGCTCAATATTGCCACGAGGGCAGGACAGACAGAGAGAAATAATAAATAAAACAAAATAAATGCTTCGTTAGAAGCTTTTGTGTGCCCTGGATAATTTAATATTTTCTTTGACACTCGAAATCCAAACAGTTCCTTGGGCCATAAATGAATGCTTTGTCATGATTTCTTTCATTACAGACCGACACCAAATGACAAACCACACACAGGGAATGGCAAAGTCAACGGACGACTGCACACACAGATACATATGTACATCCAGTCGAGGCGAGTTTAATGAGAGTAGAGTCTGCCCTCCTATACCCACATATATCCAGATATCCAGATATCCATATATCCAGCCATCAACTACTATATCCAGATCCTGTCTGTGTGTGTGCAAATTATTATCCCAGCCGCATATGTACATATATAGATATACGACGTTCGAGTGTTGATTTACATTTTTGATTTATTTTATTTATTTAAGCTCGTGCCTTTTGCCTTGTGCGTCGTCGGCGTTGTCGTCTAGGCCACAGAAATGGCAGAGGCAACAAAACGGACCAAAAACCAGCTAGCAAAAATATTGCTGCCCATAATTTTCATGGTCTCATTCGTATATTTTCGTATTTTTTTTTCCTTTCGACTTTCTGTGGATTTATCGCAGATTTTCTTCTTTACGTAAGTGTTTTGTTTCTTTCCTTTCTTTCTTTTTCTTTTTTTTGCTGGTGTCCTAGAATACAAACGGATTCAAGCCACTTGAAGGGAATTATCGTCGGCAGATCTGGGCAAATATTTCAATGGCTTACAGACTCTTACAAATACTCCGAATGCCCCGAGGTTCAAATTACAAGCCAACCATCCTTTTTGAGGTGAATGCATTTCAGTTTATATTGGATACATGTTTTCCATTAATCAGACATCCTTTAAGATGCTTATCTGACCTAAGAAACTCAATCATTCGTTAATTTCGCACGAGATGACGCAGTGCATCAGTGTTAAATGGGCCGTTGGACGTAAATTATATTCAAGAGTCTGTAAAATTTATTACCAGTAAAATTTGTGTTTACTGACCGGGCGGTAATTATTTTATTTGCCCTGCGGCGGTGGATGTTTTCGACCAGATGTATTGTTGTTGTTTCAAGACAGGAGTTCCGCAGACGATGGACTGTGTAGCCGAGATAGGAAAATAAACAAGGGAAGGACTCGACCTCGATTTAAACAACGTTGATCTCAGCCAGACTTTACTGTAGTTCGACCAAGTGCTTTGTGTATTTTTCATAATTATGTGTGCATATTACTCATGAGCAGCCAAGAGCAAACAAGGACAATGCCAGATGCCGGGGCAAAGACGCAAGCGTAGGTGGAGGCGGAGTCCGAGTCTGGTGGCGGAGAGGCAACAGTAACTAGGCAAACATTTGCCGTATATTACGGCTAATTTAATTGACTTGCCAAGCTTGCTGTTGGCCATGTGTGTTGTGCTACGTGTGGCTTTGTCCGCATTTATATGGACCAACTCCGATACCTCAGGTTTCTCCCTCCAAACTGGTCGGGTCTCTTTGATGTTTTGGCCGACAGGGAGGGGAGAATGCCGGTATTGACATTTCGAGGAAATATTTCAAAAATACCAGACGGCCAGAGTCTGTGCAGGCCAAGCGAACATTATTGGTTAAAGGTTATGGCTGGAAGCACAAGGCATCTGCCAATATTAATTGCAATTGTTGGGGAATTCCAAAAACGGAAAATGGTTCATAAAGGTTTACCCAAAAATGAATTGAATGTGTTGAGGAAATTCAAGAAAATTAAGTTCTATAGAATCTGAAAATTATAGAAAATCTGTGACATTTATTAGAGAATTAAAAACATTGTTTTTCCAAAACTCCACTAAGTAAGTCTAAAAATATCTTGTTGTACAGCAAAACCCCCTTATGATTTCCTAGCCAAAGAAGGTGAAAGATCAAAAATGGCTCCATGAAGTGTCCTGATTGCATACCCTTTCATCCGGAATGAAATGCGTACGTCTTTGGCAAATGCCACTCACAGATAACTAAGGGCATTCTCCGCGACCAGGACGACCAGGACGACATGTTCAATTTCTGGTGCAAATGTTTTGCAGAATGTGTGAGAGCATGGAATGTCTCCTTGTGTGCCTTGCCGTTGCCCCCCAGCATGCTTTATATTCACTTAATTATAGATGCGACACGCACATTCTCGGGTATTGTAATGTGTCCCTACCCAAAACTGTGAGCATATTTATGCGCCTGGGAGAGCCAGCGGATGCGGATACGTATGGATGCCAAATGTGGGTTCGACCCTTTGGGACTCCTTTTGGGGGAGCTCCTCGTGTCCATTTCATAATGGGGACACGAAGCTGCAATAAAGTAGCAATTACCACAAGTTTAACACATTTTGGCAAAGGTACATGCAAATGTCCAACAAAGGACCACAGAGAGAGAAGCTGAGAAGCTGTCAGATCTTTGGAAATTTCTGTTTTTGGTTGGCTTTGGCTTAATGGCAATTAGGTTTTGGCCAGTTGCAAGCAAACATAATTGGACAAGAGGAACATTTGAAATCAAATGGCATTTATGATGGAAATAGGAAATTTACTAATGGGAGGAAGTAATCTAAAAAGGACCTTTAAAACATGAAACTGTCTAACTTATCATAACTACTAAGATGATAAATATATTCTCTCCAGGCTAAGCTTAAACTTCAATTTATGTGTACAATTATCACTTAGTTATGTATTGTTATAAAAAAATATTTTTAGTTCAATTTTATGGTTGAAATTTAATATGAGAACCCTTTATATTCCATTTCAATTTACCTAAATTCAATATTAATCAAAGAAATATATTTCTTGCCACAGTGAAACTTGATCCGAAATGTTATTTTCTCTTTCTTCACTTAATACACAACATTTCTTTATCTATCCGCACAATGCCAATCAGTTTTGACGAAGAGCAAACTGTGTTTTCCCCATTTTTTTGTGTTGTATTTTTCAAAGGGAAACCTGAGAAAAATTCGGAATTTTTCCCGGAAATTGAACTGCATCTGCTGCACTTACCATTCACATCACACGTTCAATCTGTTCACTTTGCTCGCGTACACGTAGTTAACCAAACAAGGATCGAAAGGCTGCAAAAAGTTCGAAACTATTTTTTACCGCGACCTCCACGCTGGGCTAGGCCGTACAAAAAAATATATGAAACCGCGGCTTAACTAAATTTCGTTGTCAAAACTTCAATTGTTGCGGGGGGCCAGCAGTACGAAAAGTTGGGGCCAAAACATTTTGACAGGCAGCCGCCCAGCCCGGGCCGAAAAGAAAAACTTGTGTGTACGGAAAATGCCAACGTGTGAGGCAACCCGAATCGGCCGAGTTTCAGTTACGAGGGCGCACTTAACTATCACGGCAAACTTTGCAGCACTTAACAACACTTGAGCGAAACTTTTGCCAACTCCAGCCGCATAGACTACGGCCAGCTAGTTCGGCAATGCGTTAGAGCCCTTAACTGTGGCTAATTCGTGGTCATTGGTCGTCGTCGTTCAGCCTGCATACGAGTATTTTTTTGGCGTCTTCTCTCTCAGTTAACCCCGCGTTAGGACGAGCCCGAGTGCGCCGAGTGAGCCGTGCTTGCAACCGCCTCGTCGAAGGAATCACCGCAAACTGTCTGAACTTAGCCAAGTCCCCAGACAGCAGACTGTTGGCTCGGTCCAGTCCTTGGCATCAGCAGCAGCAGCAGCATCCTCCTCGGTCCTGAGTCTTCGGCCAGGAAACATCGCCTGGTTTTATGAATGGTGCGATGTTTTGGGGAACTTTGTGGCAATGGAACAGCACCCGCGCATGCCCACAGGGCGTATGCAAGATTTATGACAGTTGCGCGCCCCGAAAGACATCGAACACGTGGCGGAGCACCAACAAGTGTGATAAGCGTGATAACGCCCGAACGCAAATTCAACTGTGATTTCTTTTTTTCTGTTTTTGGTTTGTTTTTGGCAGCCCTCGGTCTGTGTGTGTGTCTAAGGTCAGGGACGATGACCGCAGGCAGCGGCGACAAAAAGTGACAGAATGTGTGCCATAGAGAGGGAATAAGATTGAGCTTTGATGAATGTACATTTAATTTGTATGGGGAATTAATAAATAATTCTTCAGATATTATAATATTAACTGGATATACAAATAATGATCCAACTTTTATAATTTCATTGTTTTTAACTTGCCTTTAGTATAATAAATGCCATTTAAAATGCATCATTTTCATTAGAATTTTATATTTAATACATTTAATTCGTTTTAAAGCTCTCCATTTTGTGATTAAACTTTCCTTAGGCACTGTTTTATGTAGAAAAGCTTTTTCCCAGCTATCAGCCAAATAACTCAATTAGTTTAACACTTCAGTTATCTAGATTTTTCAGTTATCACTCGTCTAGGGTTGTCCAGTTATCAGGCGCACTTCAATATATTCATTCAGAAAGAATAATGCCGTAAGCAGATAAGTTCCGGAGCATTATAGTATTTTCCCTATCCGGCATCGACTGTTTATTCAATTATGCAAGAGTTCGCACTCGGTTGATGTTAATTAATTAGCTGGCACACCGGTCTTGCGATGACTAAGTTGGCTGGGCATATGGGGCTATCCGGGCATCTCATCAATCCGACAAGTTTGCGGTGTGCTTAGGAGAGACCTGGGGAGTTGGATGCACTTCGGGGTGTGGCTGTCTCATTATAATGCGCATTATTAACTGACGGCTACTGTCACGCCTGAGTGGGCAAAGCGACCGACTTTGAGGGAAGCCGCCAGAACAGACGGCCAGAAAACCGCCAATCAATTCGCCGAGGCATGTGCATCCTGCTGCTGTCAAGGACTTTTAAGGACTTAAAGCTTTAAGATGCTGCAACCGGAAGTGACCCACCCTCTATTTGCATGCCAATCGGGAGCATCTTGTCTGCTGCAGTCACTGCATTTTCCGCATTTGCCCCCGAAACAAATTCAGGAACTCTTTAAGCCATTTCGCTTGCCTTTTGGCCGTTTTCTGTCTGTAATTTCATGTTAATATATGCATGCAGCTGAACTCCCGCCAACTTTCGGAGGTGGCACCCGCACAGACACCCACACGCACACAATGCAAATGGCGCAACAGGGCGTGGCTCTGGTCCCCCAAAAATATTGCAAGAATAATAAAATGCTGCTGCAGCGGGGAGTTCACTTAAAAAGGCCAACTAGTTTGCAGAGCGATTTGAAAGCAGCACGGGGTAAAATTAAAGTGCATACATGGGTATGAACTTGGCTTAAATTGCTGTCGAGAATGTGCATTTTATAGTATAAAGTTTATACACTTTAATTTTTAAGATTATTGTTACATTTTAAGGCATATGGCATATACATATTAATGGTGCAACAGCTACCTCTTCCAAGAAAACTCTCCCTCTTAATTAATAATTTTATCAAAGAATTAAATCAAAAAACAATTTCTTCTAGTGTATAAAACCCCACACGGAGCTATTCCCGACCTAGCCATGGTTTAATCACTCACCTGGTGCAGGGTTCCTGGAACTCTTTGTTACCATGTCGCTGGAAAAAATACGGAAGTCACTCCCATTTGGAACGGAAATTAAAAATATGTGCTCTGCGGAGATTAGGTGAGCCCATCATAACAAACATCAGCTGATGTTTCCACCCCATAGTGTTCAGTACCAAGAATTTTTGACTAATCTGGCTTCACAGTTTTGGATAAACTTTGGACTCTTTATTCGTCGGATTTCCGATTAAGTGCGAAATTGATATGATAAAACGTTTGCCCCAAGGCGATATAAAAAGACAATGGCAGTGGCAATAGAAGCTCATAAGCGAATTCAAACTGGACTAGCAGAATGCCGACCAAGGCAATTTTCCCCACCTTCTACAATAAGGAGACAAAGATCTGGAGCGGCGTGCCCCGGGCCACTCTCTACGATCCAAACACCTCCGTCGGCCAGGTCATCTTCAACTCGCTGAAATGTTGGCCCACCAATGTGATTCAGGTAGGTGCCGCTGGAGTAACCTCCCAAGGAGAGAAACCACAGGGTCTGATGAGCTCGATTATATAAAAGTAGATCAACGACGACGATGGAACCGTGCTGACCAACGCCGACATGCTGGCCTATGCCACCCGCATTGCCCTGTACTTCAAGAGCGAGGGTCTGACCCAAGAGGATAAGGTGGGCATTGTCGCCAACTCCAACACCTATGTGATTCCACTTGCCACCGCCTGCTTTTTCCAAGCCACACCCTTCCATGCCGTCAACTACTCCCGAGAGCCGGCCATCATCAAGGGCCTGTACTCGGTGACCAAGCCCAAGATTATGTTCATCGATGGTGCGGACTATGAAAAGATCAAGGAGATCACACAGGAGTGGGCGCCCAAGATTATAACGCTGACGGGTAGCGTGGAGGGAGTGACAAGCATCGAGGATCTGGTGAAACCCCATCCCGCCGAGAAGATTTATGCGTGAGTTTTATGCAATTTTTATGTAATAATTATTATATTTAACTGATTAATCTAATCCCCTTTAGACCCGCTGCCTTGGCCAAAACTGGAGACCAAATCGCTGTGGTTCTGTGCTCATCCGGAACCTCTGGACTGCCCAAGGCCGTGGCTCTCTCCCACCGCCACGTGGCTTCGACCAACTCGTGAGTTTTGGATATGACAGTTTCTCTTTCGACTCTAAACCAAATATTCTTTTCCCCAGACTATGCATCAGCACCGATGTACTATACACCAGTGCCACCATTGACTGGATGACTGGATTTTCGATTACCATCATGAATCTCATCTGCGGTTTCACCCGCATCCTGTCCAGCAAGCCCTTCAGCGCAGAGACTGCCATCAACATAGTGACCAAGTACAAGGTTTCTTGCATAGCCATGGCTCCCTGGCAGGCATACGAAATGTACACAAGTCCCTTGGCTACTCCCGAACGCCTGGAGAGTCTGAATATTTCCTTCGTGATCGGTGGCTGGATATCTCTGGCTTTGCTCCGTCGTGCCCAGGAGCTGATGCCCAATTGTTACATTATGTTCTCGTATGGAACCACGGAAACAGGTGTGGTGACCATCAACTGCGATCAGTCGTTGGAGTGTTCGGTGGGTCGCCTGGCCCCTGGTATGAGGGTCAAAATCCTGGACGAGAACGGACAGCAACTGGATGTGAATCAAACCGGAGAGGTGCTCATCGACATTGGCCTCAAGTGGGAGGGTTATCTGGCGAATCCAGAGGACACAGCAGCCACTCTCCAGAACGGCTGGATCAATCTGGGAGATTTGGGTTACTTTGACGAGGACAACAATCTGTATCTGGTGGACCGCAAGAAGGATCTGCTGAAGTACAAGTCCAAGCACTACTGGCCCAACGAGATTGAACAGGTGATCGCCGAGCTGCCGGAGGTGAAGCATGTCTGCGTCGTCGGAGTCCGGGATGAGCGATATGGCGACGCTGCCGGAGCTTTGATCATCAAGAAGGAAGGTGCTGATATCAGTGCCGAGAAGATCAGTGAGCATGTGGCCCAGAAGCTGGTGGTGGAGTACAAGCACTTGAATGCCGGCGTCATCTTTGTGGACGAGTTCCCCAAGAATGCCAACGGCAAGGTCATGCGAAGTTTGGCACGCCAAGTGTTCGAGGAAACCAAGAAATAAATTATCAAGAAAAGAGCCCCACCTTTAATAATTAATAATATTTAATAATTTTACATTTGAATTATCTGTCCTGAGCTCAGAAAACTATAGTCTTGGCCACAAGGTTGATGTTTGCTATACCGTTATACGGTGTTAATTAAAAATTGAATTTGATAATAGTCAAATAATTGTGTTTTATTTTACATTTATTTATTGGTAAATTAGTTAATAAGGTTTTTTTTCAGTTAATAACTATGATGGTACTTTGTTTAGAAATGTATTTACATATCTACAACTATTTTTAGATACGCAACAATAAAGTTTTGATGAGTCTACAGGTTTTTAATTAAATCGAAATACTTTTAGCTTGGATAAGATAAAACCTATATTACATATTAAAAGTTAGATAACGAAGTTTAAAGTAACAAAACAAGATCAGCGAGTAAAGAGATAAGAACGAGCCAATTTGGTATATATTTTTTTATAAATATTATTTTATTTATTATTAATTAGGTAAATTAAATATGTTTAGATGACAATAGCACTAAAACAATAAATTGGAACCAAATAAAGACCTATTATTACCGATCACTCCCTTCAAATGAAATAAAATTGTTGTTTAATGGAGTACCAGTACTTGAAATGGGTATTTTTACAGCATTTCCGGTTTCAACAGTCCGCATAATGGACAATTTCCGTGCGAAAATGGCCAGCACTTGATCCCTGTTTGTATATATGAATACCTTTTGTCATGGCAAATGCCGCTGCGCCAAATGCAACAATTTACGGTTATGAAAATGAAAATGAAAATGTCGGGCAGTCCAATGTTGCAATAATTTACCTTCCGGTCGATAGCGGCATTTTGTGTTTCCGGTGGTGTTCAACGCTATCGCAACCGCTGTTTCCGCCGCTGCACATTGGCAATCTGCTCGATTTGGCCAAGGGTTATGCGCAACTCGGATGACCGGACAAAATTTCCCAGAGCCCTAGTTTTTGGTCAAGCAAATTCAATGTTTCACGTCCTGTTTCGTTTCTCAGTTTGGGAGTAGAGTGGAAGTGGGCGGCTAGAGGCTGACTGGAAACTGGAGTATCCTGCTAGTCCTTTGCTGTTTCGTAGCTATGCTATTGCCCACACATTCAGCCGTCCTCTTCACTGCATTCTTGGCCGGCCGTCGTCGCCATCGTAAATTATTCAAATTTCAAGTCGTAAATAAACGCGCATAAACATAAACACAATCGTTGTGCTGAGCTGAAGGCCTGCTGCTGCCATTGAACACGCCCACAGGACATCTTTCCAGTTTGGTTGGGGATCCGAGAGGCGCCTCCATGAACTCTATGGCAGATTGTTCAAATCGCTGGCTTCCTTCTTGACTTTGCAGCTTGCTGGCAGGAATCTATTACATTATTCTATGTTGGCAGCAACTGATACTCAAGTTACAGGGATACACCCAGAAAAATTTCAAGTTTTATATGGAAATCTCTAGGTTTTGTTAAATATGTATTTGTTTATTTAATTACTTCTTTTTTTCTAATATCCTACATTAAAAATGTCACCAGTAAACTCATTAAAACTATCGCCTCTGATTGTCTTAAATTGTTTAAATTGTGATTGACATTTCCCTAACGCACGAGGTGGTTTTCGGGCTTAGTTTGCTCACAGACACCAGGACAGCCGTCGTATCCAATCTCCATCCTACCCTGAATATCAACCAGTTCTGGCTTTGACGCCCGGTGAATGTACGCAAGACTTTCGACTCGACAGGCCATTGGCAATCGTTTGATTGACGGACACTTTGGGATGGATAACTACGGGACTGGAGGGCTCCGATTACTTCGGCTGAGTGACGTGGACGCCAAAGTCTTTATCTGCAGATGACACTCAGAAAACCACTAAAGGTCGATGACACCACAACCCTTCTAGCTAGTTGGACAGTGCACAAAACCAGAATATATTTGAGTATTAAAGTGGAGAGACGATAAATTACTTGTGCTTATTGAAATTTACCACAGTATCAACCTTAAGTAAAAGAGGTTTAGTCAAAACTCTAAGCTATAAAAACCCTAATTGATATACCTTAACTTCAAATAATAGCTTAGCTAACAATTATGCTAGACCAATTCATACAAATCCTTTTTTTTAACCATTAAAATCAATTTTCCTAAAATTTCCACCGTGCCAACTGGCTTTAATCACTCACACACTCACTAATTATGCCATTGCCGCAGGCAGTGCACCGCCACAGCCGCCGCTCACAAACGATGTTTACATGCAATTACCGCTTTAGTGTTCCGCTGTCAACTCGAAAGCGCTATTTGCCATTGTTTATTACATGCTCTCAACTCGGCTCAATTCGGTTCCAGCCAGCTCAGGCCTGGGGGGGGGTAATTTTCCAGGGGGAGGAGTTCTGGAGCATTTCATGGAGGATTTCACAGAGATTTTCAGTTGGTCCAAGAGTAGGGAGAGGGCTATCCTGCTATCGGTGGCATTCTTAATTGCATTGCTGCCAGCCATGTATCATCGCAGAGCCATTTGGTCTCTGTTTCTGTTTTCTGTTTTCGCTTTCAGCAACAGCAGCTACAGGATCAGGTAAAAATGTCCAGCGCTAATGTAGCAAATGTTTGCTATTGGCTTATGACTCTGCTCGAGGCGAAACAAGGAACACAGCTAAGTGCAGGTAGCAACGATGCGGTTAATTCAATTGTGATGGACTTAACAAGGGTTTAAAACTCGTTAAAAGTTCTTGACATATCTAGTGAACACTTGTAAGTTTAATTAAAGTTGTAAAAAATAAGCGAAGTATATGAAATTCCTAATTTTTCAGGTGGCTTGTTAAGGATTTCTTTAAATTTCTTAGAAATAGACATTCTTTTTTTGGTAACCCCCTGACTATCTTAAATTACAACTGCAACCTTCCCTTAGGCCGCGCGCACACTACGAGCTGAAAGCGGAGCTGACGGCTGACGGCTTATCAGCTCTCTGAAACAAACACACTACTTGTATGAGAGCGCGCACACTGAGAGCGGAGCTGAAAGCTGATAAGGTCAGCTCCGCTCCGCTCTGTTTGATCAACCAAACATGTTTGATTTTGTTAGCAGCTGACGCGAGCTGATTTTTTAGACTATTCTTTAAAAAAATGCCCTAATTAGCGCTTAAGTAACAGAAATTTAAATTTCTGTCCAGTTATTTAGAAAAGTATGAAGAATTTTTTTAATATTTATTAAAATAAAAATATTGTCAACTTTCCGAGATACAGGGTGCCAAAGTACACTAAAAAAACGTACTTTGTCAACCATATTCTGGAGAACTGGGTGGTCCGATTTCGAAAATTTAAATGTCATGATGATCTAAATAAATATGTCATCGCATTAACAACGATATTTTAAAAATATTAAAGAATTAAAAGATGTTTTTTTTTAAACGTATTGCTTGAAAAACAATTACAAATCAACATCAGCTTCAGCTCGCAGTGTGCGCGGCTGCAAAAGCTCCGATCGCTGATAAGCTTTCCGCGGATAAGCTCTCAGCCGTCAGCTCCGCTTTCAGCTCGTAGTGTGCGCGCGGCCTTATTTATTCAAAATTCCCACCCGATCATAACTAATTTGTAATTCGGCTAACAGATTTGGTAAGTCAATTAAAAGAACGAAATTTAAATTTTTGCATGAAAGCGTGATAAACTTCTGAGACAGTTCCCAGGAGGAGCTCCACCCAAGGCAATTTAAGTTGTTAAGCGCCCCAATGAATAATTCATTGCCACTCGTTTGTCCTGGCCTACGCGTCGATGATTAAATCAAATCATTTCAAACTCTCCCAAGGTCGCAGTGAATCCCTACAGCCGCCCACCGATGATCATCCTTATCAGCAAAGGGCAATGTGCAAATGATGCCTGCGGGGCCGAATTACCAAAGCAGTTGGCTGCCTGGCAACTGTCCGCGATTTCAAGGGTTTAATTGTGCCGTCCAGCCTTAATTTACTGAAGTTTTTCAGCTATTTGGTAAGGGTCCAAAGGCAAGTCAATTCCAGTTTCCTATTCTCAGTTCGTTGCTTTGACAGGAAACAAACAAACTTCCAACTGACTGGAGTTGGAGCCGAAGGTCCGAGAAGGTCAAAGGTTACACAATCGAAAAACAAAGAAATAAATAGAGAGTGCCCCGCAGGCAGACATTTATTTGGCTCAATTTCGTTATTAAATTACTGCAATGCCAAGCCGAGAGTACAATCTCCAAAAGAGTCTAAGGGAACACCTATTCCGGTCTAGAGTTTGGCCTCAATTTTGCATTCGTTTTCGAATGCATGGGCCACAAATTGAATCGACATTTTCGTTCAAGAGCACGTTGTGCTACGGCTGCTACTGCAGCCCAATTTTGGGTTTTGATTCGTATTTCCATTTTGGTGCATTGCCCATTTGCTTTTAATAAAAATTCATCAAAAGTCAACTGAAAACAAAAGGCACAAAACGGGGAAGGGAGGGACGGGGGGCTCGTGTGTGCCAGAAGTCATAAAAAAAAAGGGACGAAACAATGGCAGTGGCGTGCAACCGGAAACGGAAGTCGACGCAGACAAACACCAGATACGAAAAGGGCGCCATGGCGTGTAAGGGAAAAAGGGGACGAAGGGTGAAAGGAAAGGCGAAAAGCGAAGAGGATAAGGGCCAGGCCAGGGCTCAAATGGAAGAGCGCCCAGTGACAGAAGGAATAAGCTGCCCCTTTTCTCAGACTTTTTCCTGAGATGATTTTTAAATAAGCTAGCATACACACACACACACATACATCCGCACTTTTATGGCATTCCAATTTGAGGGAAACAAAGAGATGCTCCAAGAACAACAAGGCATCCTTTCGGCCAAGGACTAATAGGCACAGCCTTGACAGCACGTCCCGAGAGGAGGAAGCGAAACAGCGAAATGGCAGCAACCATAAACGAAAATGTGTAAAAAGCTTAAGCGCCACTAAAAGATCCTCCCCAGGCCAACCAGCCAATGGAACCACCATTCGCACCCAGCATCACAATCACACAGCCAACATCCCACAGCCAACATCTCACATCCAACATCCAGCGAATAGGTACATAATGGCCGCCTGACACGGTGGGCAGATGTCAACATGTGCTTTTATTATCAGAAAGTGCACCGGCCACCTCTCGGGCTCATTCTGCCTGCTCCTCCTGATCCTGGCCACGTGGCTGGACTCGAAATGCAACTTAATTAAGAGCCGAAAAAGGAAGGAAGGGGCCAGCACCAGCGGCACCAGCGAAGGAAACTGCAGCTGGCATCTGCGGCGGTTAATGCCAGGCGGCCATAAATCTGCCGAAATGCACGGCAAGCACCAGAGATCTGGTGCCAGGGAGCAGGGCGCCAGGGAGAATGGCTATATAAATATACGACTGCCAGCGATAGCCAAGCGAATTGCGACTTTTATGACCTCGAGCGAGTGAATTAAATGCGAGGTAATTACATATTATAGATGTGTTTAGTTCGGCGATAGTTTTCCGCCCAAGGAAAGCCAGTTATCACAATGTATAGGACGAGGAAAATACATCTATGTGGGGGCGCTTATATAATTTTAATAAAATTTTAAGTAAAATCATACAATATTAAACAGTTTCCATAGCTATAATCTTAAATTTGATTTTTCTTATGTCGAAAATTATATGTTAAAACTTAAATTTTGAAATTATTTTCCCAAAAAGGTAGATAGTCCTCAAAAATATAATTAATTCCCTTCCAACCGTTCACAGACGGCCTCAGCGAACTCGGAACATGTGGCCGTACCGCCCAAATCCTCTGTGCGAATGTCCGTGTCCCGGTAAACGCCTCTTATGGCGCACTCAATGCGATCTGCATGCTTCTCCTGCTTTATGTGACGCAGCATCAGGACGGCAGCGAGCAGGGGACCCGTGGGATTGGCCAGATCCGATTTCATTCGGCAATCAAAGACGGTGCCCAATGCGCTCACGGAGAAACCGGGACAGATGCCCGGCGCTCCCATCATGCTGCCGGCAATGACTCGCATCACGTCGCCATACATACTGGAGGAGGTGAGCACATCGGTCTGATCCGGTTTCATTAACATATTCAGGCAGACAGTGTCCAGGTAGCGATCCTCGAACTTGATCTTCTTCTTGTAAGTGTCCGCTAGTCGCTGCATGGCCTCCAGGAAGTTGCCGTCCGTCATCTTCATGATGTTGGCTTTGTGGGCCACCGTGATCTTCTTGCGATTGTTCATCGTTGCATAGAGGAACACAAAGTTAGCCAGTCTCCGGGCTCCGTCGGTGGTGCCGACCTTAATAGTCTGCCACACTCCGGGCACGACGCTGTGCTCGACACCCGAGTAGTCGCCCTCCGACTGGTCCCGAATGATCATGACGTCGAACTCGCCGTAGGGTGTTTCCAGGCCCTGGATATTTTTGCAGGCCGAAACGTAGGCGTACTGTTTGAACTGATTGCGGATGTGACGCTGCCAGTGCCGACTGTCCACCGGTCCCTTGAGGCCCACTCGGTTCTTGCGCAGACTCTCGAGGATCGCCGGCGCCACATCCTCGTTGTCTGGGGAAACCTGGTACTCGTCGTGGACATCCCACTCGACGGGGGCCTTGGCGGCTTTAAACACCTCCTGGACGGCACTCATGAGCTCAGGACCCGCACCCTCGCCCTTGATCAAGGTTATCTTGGTGGTGTCCTTGGGGAAACCATTAGCCTCGATAGAATCGCTCTTGCCCTTGTCCGCACCCTTGTTACTGCCCTTGCCCTTATCTTTTTCCTGAGACTTATCCTTAGCCTTTGTAAGATCCTTCTTGGGCTCTGCCTTGGGCGGGGTCTTAGGCGGGGTCTTAGGATCAGGCTTGGACTTGCCTTTGTCCTTGTCCTTGCCGGAGTATGGCCGAAAGCTAGCTGCCCATGATCCCAGCTGGCCTACTCTAAGCCTCCGCACGAGGTTCATTTGGTTGAATTTTTATTTTTTGGCTGGTTTTTTTGTGTGTTGTTGCAAGAACGTGTGATTGGGGAGACTGACTGGGAAAGCTTTGTTTACTTGGGCCTCGTGATGATCACTCTTCCCCGAAACACTTGGCCGCAAATTGATTTGGCAGCGATTCAAAGGCGCTTCCATAAATCCCCGCCTTGGCAGAGGCTCCAAGTGGGTCAGCCATGGATTCAAGCGACGCTGTTCCGCTTTAATGCCATCGCCCCCTCTGACGATGAAGAAACACCTGCAGGCAGCAGGTGTGGGTGTGAATGTGAAGGAGGCTTCTTCTACCGCCTTCGTTCTGCGGCCGTGTAAATGTGACAAATGGCTTGTCAACGCTGGGCCGTGGGCCGTAGGCAGAACCGCGACGACGACTGCTGGCGACAGACAAATGTCCATCCCTTGCCCTCCAAGGGGGCGTGGCAATTATGAGGCCTGCTGGCAGTGATTTTTCACACAGCAACAGAACAACAACGAGGGCGGGACCATTAAAATCGACGACCATTAAGCGCAGACCACAGGGAACCGGCGACAGGTTGTGAAATAAATACTCAGTAATTATTACGAGCCAGGCTGATTACGATTTAAGAATTATAAATGGAATTTACCAGATTTTAGCTGGCTGAAAATTATATATAGTGGAAAAGCTTTCATTGCATGTGGTCCTAGTTAATATTTTAATAAGGTTTATTTTTTGACTAATGGCTTAAGCGGATTCCCTTTGGGCTTTATAAAATAATTTTAAAATAAAATATAAGCTCAAGCTCATATCAATTTCATTGCCTACTAAACCTAGAGCAATCTACAAAGTCAGCTTTTCAATTTGCTTCTGCCGACAGGATATTAAATCCTTGAAAAACTATCTCCCAGAGAACATAAGGAATGTAAGGGATTCCCTTGAATGTGTTTGTGTCATTCCGTGCTCCAGTATCATATTTTATCGCGTTTTGGCCTCTATATTGACAGCTTCCTGCACATAAAAAGCCGGCAAAAGTGCACTTCGCCAACAAAGTCGGTGCAATGAATGGGCAAACTTAGGAAAGTTCGTGTAAACATTTGCCAAAAGTAAACTGCCAAGGGGCTAGCAGAACACACAAAATGTGTGAACCCAGGACTATTATTAACCCTCGAGTTCATTGTTCATTGTTCGGCTGTTCAGCAAATTGAAAGTTGAAATCGGGGCGACGGACAGGGAGGCCTTGAAAGGTGGAAAGGTGATTTTCAGATTGGCATATTCAATTCGGGGAGATGTCTAGATGTCAGTGTCATTGTTTAAATGGTTTTTGTGACGAGTATTCCTCAGGGAATTGAATGACACTATCTTTTAGCTATCGGCTAAGTGAACAGCAACGTTGGGGTTTATATCTGGTTATTAAAATAATTGAAAGAGGAACTATAACTCTTGTAGGAATTTATATATAGATTTTTTATTAATTTATTCGTTTAATATTATTTTCTTTATTTAACTTCACTTTGCGCTGCAGAATTATTCAGTTATTACAGCAGAAAATCAAAGGCTACCTCTTAGCCTCTTTATTTAAATATTTCCCTCCCCCATCAGGGGCCAATTGTATTCGAATTAGGCCAAGTGCATGTGGCAACTATCGAGCACTTTGCTGGTAAACCTCGAATGGGTCCCAAGAGCTCATCCAAGCCCAGCCTGCTGCACTTAAAAGGCGCTTAAAGATGCCAACAACTTGCGAATAATACAAGAATAATTCGACTCGGTTCGCTGGAAGGGAAAACAATATAAATGCATGGCTTATTTACAAGTTGTGTGTGTGCTCTCTCGAGTGCATACATAATGCGAGGCTGCCGTCTGCATCTGACGAGGGAGGTGGTACACTGGGTGGTGTGTTCACTAAGTGAATTACTTTTAAACATCTGTGAACTCATTGAAATACCCATAGTGCCACTCACATACTGTGTAAACTGATCTGCGGTACAGAAATACTTTCAAGGCCGATAAGATAAACCAATGACAGCAGCTTTTTATCGGGGCTATTAGGCCGAGTGCCGGAATGAGCAGTTATGATCCCCTGATTTTCATTAGCCCGGCTTTTGGCCTCATGAATTATGTATTTCCAGTTTATCATTTCTACGGGCTACATGTTGATTTAAGGCTTTTAAGGCTTGCCCTGAGTCAAGGAAAAAAGGACCAGCCGAAAAAAACAAGAGAGATGGGGTGAAAGCCAGAGGAAGAGTAGTTCTTCACACCCAAATTCCCCTGCCGGACGGACAGATTTGGTTGTTTATGTAGTCCAGGGACGTGCCAGGCAAACCCTTTTGTCAATGGGATAGGTCCAGAGAAGGAGGAACCGGAGAAAAATACTGTTGCATATTTGATTGTCTCGTTCAATATTTACATATTCGTCGGACTCGTCAGTTTCGCCTTCTGCTTCCTTGCTTTCTGCCTTACCTTCTGTTGGTTTACGCTTCGCATCGAATATATATATATCCATCGGGGGCCAAGCTATCGACTCCCCAAGACGATGCATAACCATCGGTATATCCAATGCCATCCGGTTAAAATCAGAATTTGCATTTCTATAGTTGGCCCCTTGTTTCAGGTGCACCACAGAGTCCCAGGTAAAAGCGTGTGAACCCCGTCACTTGGTGCAAGTGCTGAAAAAATGCAAAAAAAAAAAAAAGGAAACCGAAATCCTGGCACGCACCTGATGCCAAAGGATCAGGGGGTCGTTGGCTATAGCTGGGCTTACCAACATGCGATTGTTTATGGCTGGAAAAAGGAATAATCAAACCAGTTTTTGCAAGATATCCCTGAAATAATAATCGAACATGTCCAATATGCATTTATTTATAGCGGTGTCCTGGCATTCATTACAATCTACTATTTGCACAGAGGAAAATGCCGGGAAATGCTTAAAAACAAATAAAATATTTATGGCTTTAATAGCACTCTTAACTTTGTTTGAAAACAGAAGAACCAAAATGTATACAAATTGATTAATCTGTTGCATTCCCACTTAATTAGAGTTTTCAAAGAAAATTCTAATTGCTCAAGAATTTCCAGATCAATTAGGGGCTGAATTATGAAGCATTTGCCGCACCGAGTAAATCAATTAAAGAGCGATTAAAAATATATACATAACATGACAAGCATCAATTGTGTCTTTGCACATCATTTACCTCATAATATTGAGACACTTTGTGGTTGGCCACAGGGCATTCCACTGAAAGTCCGGAATGCGGCATTCTCCAGAGGATTTGCAGGGGGAGCTGCTTCTTCTCCAACTATCGATTTACCTGTCTTCTCAATTAAATAAACATTTTTAATCAAGATGAGAGCCGGACCCACACGCACGCACATCTATTGGCCAGGCAAATATTTGCCAGAGCCGAGAATATCATGGATTGATAAGCGTGTGCTCGGACACGGGATAAACAAATAAATAAAATGTAAACAGGCAAACGCACACAACAGATATTTGACAGACTCTGAATAATTTGCTAAAGCTTAACTAAGCCTGACCTGACTGTTGGAGAAGCCAGTTTAAATATTCCCTTCTCCGCCGCCGCCGACTGATTACAATTAAAATGCACAAAAACCGCAGGCTCCTTCGGCACACGCACTCACATATTAAATACTTCGGCAGGACGAGAGAGACTGTGTATTCCAGTCACAATATTGAGAATATTTTTGCACGCAATGTGGTTTGTTTATGCGTCTGCCGAAGCGTAAAAAGTCGCACAATGTGACAGTTAAATATTGTGGGATATATGTATGTTTTTTACGGTCCCACCAGGGCAGGGGCAACACCGATGCACGAGAGTCAGAGCCATGAAAGGCAATAACAGGCGAAACAAAAAGTTAATTAAGTTCTTAAAGGACCGAATGATGCCCTCCTTTTGTCGCCATTTCTCTCGTCCTTTTGCCTTTGTCCTGTGTGCTTTGCATATCTCAGCGAAAACGATGACACCACGTGGCAGCGTGGAAATGAACGAGCAGGAGGAGGATAGCCAGGACGAAGGCGAGAATCCTCACACGCCGTAGGTGCTGCCGTTCACATAAATTGATTCCATACAAAATGGTATAATTCATTCTCGTTCCGTTTGCACCTCGATGCCCGATGCTGCATTGCACGGCCCCATGGGTGAGCAGGATATGCGCAGGATGGCCGGCTGCTGGGTCCCAATCCTTCGGATTACCATCGCGTCCGCGCTTGCTGGACAATATAGTAAATCATGCCATCCAATGGGGCCAAAAGTGTCCGGACAAATCAACTTTATTTCGGGATTTGTGTTGAAAACGATTTAAAGCTGAACGATGATACATTTTGGCAACAGTTTCAGATGTACAAATAACATAGATTTCTCGTGTTTGAAAATTGTTAAAATTGAGAAGTAATCTATCCATTTTAATGCCTGAAAATGTGTGGATAATTTAGCAATTAAAGCTCTTTCTGTCCCTTTACTTTACTTTACTAGTTTGTTGGCTAAAGGTTGTCCCTTCGACTAATTAGTTTACTAACCATTAACACCACACCTTCACCAGCAGAGATGGCCCTTTGGGCCAAAGTTGCAGGACCTGAAACTTGAAATGGCGCTCACGTAAGGAGTTGACACCGCGACTTTGGGCCAACTCAGCGGCGACTTTGTGCCAAGTCAATTTATATCGGGCGCAAACTGCGGACAACGGCCGACAGGTGAGCAAAGCTCCGGGCCAGGCCCATAACTTAAGGACTCAAGGAGTCGAACGGAGGCATCTACCAAATTTAATTACAGCTACATATTAGTTGGAAGTTGCATAAACAAAAACCAGGGCGTGGTCGTTTGGGTTGGGGGTAAGTCTGGCCAAGTGTTTTGCAATTTTAGCAGGCGGCCAAATTGCAGGGAATCTCTTGGTCCTGCTCCTCCTCCTGCTGTCACTTCAGTTTCCTGGCTAGCTGGACAAACTTGAGCCAATTTCATGCTGCAACCCACGAGAAATATAAGGGGGAAAAAAAAGACCAACCTCGACTAGGACGTCTATTACTTGCCTTCTCAGCTCAACAGCTCCTCCGGCTAGCAGTGTGTGTGTG